TACATACATACATACATACATACATACATACACATATACATACATAGATATATACATACCTACATACATGCATACATACATACATACATACATATATGTCCCCTTCGCTAAACACTTCGGCCTGGGTCAAACCAGGCTGCGCGCACCAAAACTCCCCGAAGTTTAGGCCCGTCCCAACAAAAGGAAGATCCTTGTCAAAATCGGGAGGAACTGGAAACCACGGTGCAGCGTGGCATCGCGGGGAGGGGGTGGTGCAGCCTCTGAAGCTCCGATTCCAAGAAGTGGGTGGCTCTCATGGGTTCCGTCTTGGGGCAACGTTGCATTCGGTGTCGGAGCTTATCAGTGTGGTGTCCGCGCATCTTACTTGCACGTCGTAGCTTGCCAATTTCGCCCTCTCCATGTCCAGACGTTCTGGATAAGGAAGGCCAGCAAAGAACATTTTTCTGCTGCGGGGTGAGAGCAGGCGACATGGTCATACTTCTGGCAACTGAGACGTCTAGCGCAGCACCCGGTTGGCCCAGTTTGTCCACCGCCTTCGCGGCCCGCTGGGCTTGCCACGCGGTCTTTTCATGGGCTTTGAGGGTAGGCTGCGGAGTGCCTTGGGGGATTCAATTCGAGGCCTTCACATGTCACAACTACAACGGGCTCTTCGAACTTTCATCCCAAACGCTGGAGGGACAAAACCGCCGCACTGAACGGGCCCCCGCAAGATCCCTGCAGAAGCTCTCGGGAGGATGGCCTCCACCCAGAGGCGTAGCTGCTTGAGACCCACCACGGCCAGGCTGAATCGGGTCGCGGCAGCCCAAACAAGTCGGTGCCACATGATCGCAGGTCCCGCCGCAGCTTTCCGCATGGGGCCCCGGAGGAGAAGGAGAGGCAGGCCTGCGGCTCCCAGCAGGGCACCGTGGGCCGGCAGCGGCGAGATATTGGGAGGGCGCTTGCTCCAAAGTGGCGTTGCCGATGCCAGCCACCTCCACGCCAGAGGTCGTGGCCGCATTGAGGCCAGTATGGTAGAGCTTGCGAGCATGTTCCCAAGAATGCTTTAAGCATCCTGATCCTGCCCATCCGTTTCTCCATCTTGGCCAACTTTTCCGTGATTTTCCTTTGTTTTCGCCACCTACGTTTTGGGGCCGTCCATCCCGTTTTCCACGCCGAGGTGTCCCTAGAGGGTCCCGCCAGATCCCCAAGAGCCAGAGGGGGTTGGATTCACATCAGGGACCATCCGTTCAAATTCAAACGACACAGAGAAGATCAGCATGGCCCATGTGCAAGGATTACATGCACAAATCGAAATGTGTATACAAAGATCCCCAAGGGCCCGCCTGAGTTGATCCTGAAGGCCCCGGAGGGGCGCCACAGCTTGGCTTTTGTGATTGGCAATCTCACACTCGAAGTCCTTCGAGATGTCGTCAGCAAGAGACCTGGCAGCGAGGTTCGTCTGGCTGGCCCCCATATTGAAACTGCTGGCGTGGCACTGCAGCAGCAGATCGTCGGTAAACATGGCGAGGCTGACATAACTAAGCTCAGCAGCGCAATTGCCGAGAGGGGGAAGCACATACATCTGGACAACGTAAATGGCCCAATTACATCATACTGCGGTTCCTTTCCAAGGTCTCCCCACGTTCACCACGCAGTCCCCGAGAGACGAAATACGCTTAGTACCATGCTGCGCCGTAGTGCTACGAAGGATACAGGACGGGTGACCAAAAGCCACAGCCCTGCCAGTGAGACATGCGCTGTCCATGTGTTCGTAAACGGTAGATAGATGGCAGAGTACATGCGCTGAGTACTGGTGCTCTGCCAAAGAACTGTTGAACTCGCACTCGATGGGGCCGCTAAAACACAAGCTCGACGATGGAGCGGCCAGCCTGATGAGCGAGGTAAGGCCCGCGGTGATGAAGCTCCGGTTCTCTGGCCGCCGACCGCCTCAGTCGCGACCAGACTCTGTGCAAAGCAAGGAGCATGCCAAGGGAACGAAAGGCGGGCTGACTGGCAGGGGCGTCGTGCTGCCGAAGCTTAACCATCAGCGTAGACACGATCCCCTGGAGCCGGGTTGGCAGATGGCCCACCTTTTCGATGATGCCCATGAATTTGTATTTACGTCTCGTACTGACATGTTTAGGGCGAAACCCATCCCAAGAGGAGGCCGCAGCGCGGGGGAAGCTCCGAGCGAGTGTCCCAAGGGCGAACCGTGGGAATCGGACCAAGGGCCGCCCTATCATCGGTATCTGGAACGTGTGGGGGGGGAGCTTCTGGGGAGGCCTGCGAAATGCCAGCTAGTCTACCAGCTTGAACTTGCAAAACGTACGGCGGCCCGCCAGTGTACTGAGACTTGTGTGAGGCACAAACAGGCTGCCATGCTTCGAGGCGCTGGGGCAACCGGTGCGCCCATCCCACCCCTCCTGTCTTGAATGAGTTGACCCGGTCCGTCCACGCCTTACCTTCAGATGAGTGTTCTGACTCGTGCTCCTGATGTAACAACTTGGTAGCTTGCTCGAGCAATTCGTCAAGCATTTGCAAGGCCAGCTCCTGCTTGAGCGTACCTGCTAGAAAATCATCATGCAACAAATTTGCAACAACCCGAATATTCTGGAGCCCCTCCTTGAAGGACGCAGCGGTTTCGAACAGCTCCTGGACAGTCGTCGAGACTGCCCAGGGTGTCCCGGAACTCCTGAATGCCCTTGTCCTGAACATTGTTCCTGAAATTGATTTTCTTACTCAGCCACCTAAGATGGCCAGCATAAGACACGCATTTAGCCCTACCCCTAGCACACTTGGCCTTCGCGGGGACTCCAAGGGCCTGCGGGGGTTGGGTCATGGTGAGCTTGCTGGGCTTGAGGGGGTTTTTGGTCGTCTTACTGATTGAGTTACCCAAGTCCTGAGCCAACGTGAATTAGACGTGTTCCAGGATGGCACCCGACTGCTGCTCGGAGAGAGGTTGACGGGCATCTCCAAGCAGGTGTATAGCCATTCCATTACAGCGGCAGCCTGGTGCTAACCCACTTCTGGGAGTTGGGGGCCCACGGGGATGTGTGTGTGTGTGGGCAGCTGATGGGGTCGAATGAGCGTGGGGGTATTAAAGTTACCTTGCGCAGCATGCTTGACTAGCACAGGGCTGCGGGGGAAGACAGGATAGGAGGCCAACGTGCGAGGTTGGCTTAGCCAAGGAGCTAGGCCTCGGCTAGTCACAACGTCGTCGAAAGTAGACCTGGTCTTCTTGGTTCGAAACGTGGCCGCGGGGGGAGCGGTCAGCTTCATGGTCGCTGTCGTGAGGACTTCTGATTTGTACAATCTGGCAGGGGCGAGGCAAAAATACCCAGCCACCAAGAGAGGATGGGCCAACTTATCCTGGAGCTGGCCTATCTCGGGCATAAGCTTTATATTTGTCTCCGAGATGCCTGCAGCAGCTGGGAAGTTGGCGCTGCACAAACAGAACTTGGGCATTCCAGGGACCTCGAGGAGAACCCCAGACAGCCTGGACAAGCCAGTTCCACTGGGGAACTCCATGGGCTGGATTCCGAGGTCCGAGCTCCCCGTTGGGGCTGAGGGCGGCAGGGGCGACGCGCGCGAGCTACACCTGGAGCACCCTTTGTGTTGGACGAACAATGGTGTATCCTGCTGACAGCCTGCACTCCAGATCACGTACAAGAGACACAGACTTAACATACTTGGACTGCAGAGAAAACCTTCACTGAACTCCAGGAAACGTTGATAGTGGCTAGCGCGTATCGAGTGCTACCCCAAAGGCTATGACGGTTGCCTTGGCCCTCTTGACGTTGAGCCCTTCTTTATTTTGGATATTGGCTCTACTTCCTGCGACCACATCAAGCGCCTGCGCTGCACGGATGAGGCTCTTGGTTGTGTCCATGGGGGCATCGTTGGTGCTTGGTTGTTGATTTGAGTCATCAGGAACTTGGACCGCCGGCGCCAGCACTTGCTGCAGCGAATTGTTCATCTGAATCATCAAGGCGCCAGCACCTGCTGCATCGGCTGGCGCACGCGGCCCACCACTGGAAATCAACTAGTTACCCACGCTGGAAGTAATTGGCCCACCCACCCTGGAAATACCTTGTCCACCCACGACACTTGAGTGCACCTGCTGCATGGTCTCGAACATCTTGTCTGTAAGTTCCGTGACCTTGGTGCACAGTTCTTGCGGGGCGGTGTTGCCAGGCGGCATCTTGGCTGCACAAACTCCTTAAATAGTAGTGGATTGGTCTCCATCTTGATATTGCATGGCGGCTTGCTTCGCCATGTTGAGTTGCAAATCCAGGTGCTATATTTATTGAACGGTGTCCTCGATCTCTGCCACCAACTTGCTATGCGTCTCGCTGGCGGCCAATATGTAGTCCATGGTCCATGGTGTATGTGGCCTCGCTGTACTGATTGTCGATATTCTGGCGATGCACGCTGAGCTGATCCGACAACGGCTGGGCCTGCTGCTCGAGGCTCTTGGTGGAGAGCAGATGAGACTTGGCCTGTTTGAGCTTGCCCAGAGCGGCATGGTAATCGTCTCCATTAGGCTTCGGAAGAGGAGGAAGAGGAGGAGGAGAAGGGTCTGGAGGAAAACGAGGGGAGGGGGAGGGGGTCGAGGAGGGCGAGGATAAAGAGTACCATGAGCGGCGACATACACAAACGCACACATACTGCAGTAAGTAAGACTGCACACACACGCACACACCCACACCCACACCCACACCCACACCCACACCCACACCCACACCCACACCCACCCACCCACCCACCCACCCACCCACGCACGCACGCACGCACGCACGCACGCACGCACACACACACACACAAACACAAAAACACAAACGCTTTTCCTCGGGCGGCGAGCTGACGACACCGTCGCGATGCGCTAAGCAGGACACACGCGCTTTCTTGTCGCGCCAGTCGATGTCGACCGTCTCGTGGCTTGTTTCGCGAGCCTCTTCGCACAGAGCTCGAGTGCCGCAGATGCATTGACGTGTCCCTTCGGTGACCGGACATGTGCCGAGGAGGCCGCAGTGGCTACGGCAGGGGCGGCGAGCTCGAGCGTCGCATCCACGCCCGTGGCCGCAGCAGCAACCCAGGCCCTCTGCCCCTCGGCCCGGTGAGGTTGTGCAGGAGGGGCGCGGAGGGACGGTCACCCGTGTATCCTTTCACGGCTCCAGTGTTCCCAAGACGTCCTGGCGAGGTCTCACTGGCCCTCCTTGAGTGGGAGGGGGAGGGGGAGGGTTTCCTTCCCGCTCTCCTCACCCCTCCCTGCTCAGTCTCCTCTGCCAATCCCCCTCCCCATTTCCTCCTGCCCCATCTGCAATCCCTCGTGGCCCTCCACCTTCTCCCTCCTCCTCCCCTTCCCCTCCTCCTCCCCCTGAAACCTCAGGATCCCCGCAGACACCCTTGAGTTTTCCCCACGGCAACGCAAAAAGGCAACGACAGCAGACAAGGCATGCAGCGAGCATGAACCGGAGCGCGAAATGCAGCGGCACCCGCCGCATTCGTTTAGAGCGAAGGGGCCAGGGCACAGGCTAAGCAGCGGTAAAGGAGGAGGAGGAGAAGGAGTAGGAGGAGGAGGAGGAAGGAACACATATTTGCACGACCTCTAGGTCGACCAGCCCAGGCGCCGCTTCTTGCAGCCCCTGTGGGAGGTCGTCGCGGTCGGGCAAGATGGCTCTGGCCATCATCCCCTGCACAACCAGACCTAAGATCCCCCAGTATCCGTGAAGCAAGGCGGGCGGTTCCTTTCCTTACCCGCGGGTACATCCCTCAAGCATGGGGAAAAAGCGAGCTCTGAAATTTACCATGAGGCTTGCTTGCCCCACCACCCGTAGACATTTCCACTACTAAGGCAAAGCACGTTACCTAGACCAGGTGGGACAACTTCGTGGTACGTATCGGCACTGTCAGTTTGCGCTTCTGTGAGGAGACCCACCTGGATTGCGCGTGCCCGGCTGGGCTCGCCCGTTCCTGGAATAGGCGACGCCACAGTCACATCACAGAACAGTGGCACTCCATGGGACACTGTCGATCCAGTGGCACCGATATTCAACGTGGATGTGCCAGAGCATCCGCTCGACATTGCGGTCTGGCATGTTTGCCTTTGCTTCCACCAGTACTTGCCGCCACGCTGACATCATTCCAGCATGCCGCGTTTGTAGCCGAGCCCCTGTGCTGTCAGCAAGTCGGGAAGAACCGCGTTTGTTTGGTTCACCGCACGTCACTGCCAATCCCAATCGGTGCCGCACTGCGCATAGGAAGAGTCGGTTGTCAGATGTCGTAGCTGCGGTTGTTGAGCAGGTCGCGCGCCACACAGTGGAGTAAGGGCCCATGCCCGATGGAAGATGCGCTTTCCCCCGTGATGCGGGGTTGGATCGGAAATGTTATGCTGCGAGTGTGTTTGTGTGTCAGTGTGTGTGTGTGAGTGTGTTTGTGTTTGTCTCTGTGTGTGTCTCATTTGGTGATGAGAAGATACTTCCAAAGCGTTTGAGGCATGGAATTGCCGTCCGTGGTTCCAGTTCCCAAGCCATATTGGGGCTTCCGCTGTATCTCACAGTTGAGGCCGGCGGAGGCCAGCAGCTAACTATCTCGTGCCACGCGGGTCTGATGTTCCATCATGCGTCGCCGCACGTCCTCCCAGCTTGTTCCGCATCAATAAGGCACGTTGTTCCGCAAAGCGCTTTGCGTGCAGATGCACGTTGGACCGTAGACAGATGGAGCAACACATTCTGCCTTAAGCTAAAATCGCTCCAGCAATTCGGGTACAGAGTCCGCCTAGCTGGCCCACAAGGCGGCGGGAGCTGTCCGCGTAGAATCGCGTAGCCCCATTCCCCCCAGTCTGAGCGGAAGCCACGGTTAATGAAACAAGATGACCGCGGCGATGGCGATTGCAGTGGCGAAGATGGCGATGTTGGTGAGAATGACGCGGGGGATGGGTGGTCGAGGTGCAGATGGCGTCCAGTAGGATGATATGCCGCTTATATAGCAAGGTCCTCGTGATGGCGCAGCGAGGAGCGAACGGACACACAGGTGTCAGCGCCGACGGCACAGTCAACCCGCATAGTAAGCATGGGCAACCTTCCCAAGGGTACCCTTGCATCCGTGCCTCTTCGGCCCCATGCTTAGCGACTTCTGTTGGCCAGCCTCGTTCGAAAAACGCTAACACGGGCCTCCACGGCCCTTGCATCCTGACCGCGCATCCTTACGATACGCGCCAACGGCACCTAAAGTCCTCTGCGACTCTGCCGGCACGTGCCCGCCGGACGAAGCCTGACCGCCCACTCGGCGAGCGGCAGGTGGCGTCGGCAGCGGGGAGGGAGCTGGCCGCGGCGGCAGCGGGCCGCCTCGGGCGGGCGGCAGAGATGCGCGGGGAGCGCCCCGCCGACAGAGACCTGCGCGGCGCCGCGGGGCGCGTGCTCCCGCGGCGGCCGCCGGCCGCGAGCGCGGCCGCGAGGGCTGGACGGAAACACCCCACCACGGTCTGCACCCGCGGCCGAGAGCTTTTTGGGGGGGTCCGCCGAAGCCCCCACCCACCCCCACCCCAAGTCCAACGGCGCTCTCGCTCGTGGCTTCCCAGCTTTCTGCTCAGGGCTGGCGCTCGGGCCTGCCGCTGGAGACTGGACCGCCAGGAAAACCAACGGCCCCGTTCGCCGGATAGCGTCAAGCTCTTGACTCAGGAGAGGCTCTCCCGCCTCCACGCGGACACAGAGCCCCCCAAGCCAGCAACCGCGCTCCCGCTCTATATGTTTCTGCATTGTTTACCTGATGACTGGTGCTCTTGCGTCGCCGTCGAAGACCTACCCGCCAGCACAAGAAGCGCTCACGCTCGACACCTCCCCGAGTTTCTACTCGGGAGGGGTGCTCTCGCCTCGGCGCCCAAACCGCCCTCTCAGGCCAACAACGACGCTCCCGCTCTGCACCTGCCGGTGTCACTCCAGAGTGGTGTCCTTTCAGCAAAAGCAGCGATCCTGCTCTTTTCTTCCTCACCTCAAGAGGGGCGCTCTTGCCGCGGCGCTGAAACCAGCTCCCAAGACTAGCAGCAGCGCTCCCGCTCGATGTCCGCTAGCCTGTTGTTTTTCAAAAACTGGGACCCTCGTCTCAGCGCCCCAACCGAGCCCCCAAACACCAGCAGCGCTTCCACTCGATACATCATCTTTCCTGTTTCACTCTCGAGTGACGCTGTCGTCTCGCCGCTAAGCCACCCCCCCTCGTACAACTAGCTTCGTGTACGGTACTTCTCCGCTGACCTACAAGACCACCGTTCAGGTAATGGGGAGGTTGGTGAGGGGATGTGTGCAGCTGTTCGCCATCTATAACTAACGATCCTGACATCTTTCCGATTCCCCAAACAGTGTTTGCATTTAGGGTTTCTAATTTCTGTTATAAGGAACTGGGCCTTACTGTCTGTCTTACGGCGATGCTGTCGCCGTCGACGCCCCGTCGCCGCCCGTCGTCTGGGCCTGGTCGCCGGTATGGCGGCTATGTTGTCGCCGTCGCCGCCTCGTCGCCGCACGTCGTCTGTGCAGGATTGTCAGTCTGGCGGCTATTTTGTCGCCGTCGCCGCCTCAATTGCACAACGTAGATAGCACCGCATGTTTTGCACCACAAGATTGCACCGCATAGAGTTCACAACGTGGATTGCACTACATGCATTGTCCAGCATAGACTGGACAACATAGATCGTACCAACAGATTGCACTGCATAGATTGGATCACACATATTTCACAATCTATATATCTCACCACAGATAGAAAACATAAACTTCATCCTTTAGGCTAGTTGTATGTTTGTATCCAGGGCAGCCCAGCCCGCTACGCTATAACATTGTAGTCCGCGTCGTGTGCTCGATGCGGGCAGTAGATTTAGCTGTTCAGGCCTTTGGGATCTGTGCACGGGCTTGCTTACTGCAGGTCCGTTCGTGTGGCGGTCCTGGATTGCTTGGCCTCTGTTGTCTCCTCGCTTGCCCTCTCCCGCTCCTCCACCTCATTATCCTTCTCCTCCTTCTCCTTTTCATGATAATCGTTGGAATGTGAAGTTTACCTGGTCGTTCGCGGAGCTTCGGCCCGGATAGCCTCATAACTATGTAGTTGCGCCAGGGTTCCGAGTTCCCGGTTGCGCGCATTTGCTCGCCTATGACAGGTCGGTCTGCGTTGCTCCAGGTGTTCTGGATTGCTTCTCCGCCTCTCTCCCCTCCTCCTCCTCCTCCTCCTCCTCCTCCGCTGCTCTTTTTTCCTCATCCCCCTCTCCTTCCTTTTGTGGACTTGCGACATGTATAGCTTTACGATGCCCAACACTTCCTTTGGCCTTGGTCACCAGAAAGAAGTTCGAGCACCACGAGAGTACCGAAACATGAGGGTTTTCACGTGTCGGGTCCTGGGAGGCGATGCTCGTTCGACGCTTCGTTAGCGTGTCAAACTGACACCGTTCTAGAGGTTCCATCATGTTGTCCGCTCCCATCTTCTCCCTCTCCAAAAAAAGATCGCACCACCTAGATAACACCACGCCGATGTCACGCCATATGTGTGTGTAGCGCACGACGTAGATTCGACTCTCGTAAAAGCAATTAGATTATACACCCATCACCCCCACGGACTCATCACCCTCCCTCGGGTTCTGCAATTTACACACGATTATGCCTCCCTTTTCATTTTCCAACTCACAACGTCCCAGCCAGACGGGTACCGACACCCCCCTCATCCCTGTCAAATATACCACGCGGTGCACATGCTCTGATCTAAGATGAGTTTGTGGCACGAACCCTTATCGAATCATACCATGCGGGCCACAAGCGTGCGCGCAAGACGAAATCCGTCCTATGTGTTCGTCTTCGTCGCGATTTCAGCATAGAAACATCGAACACCCAATGAATTTTCAATAAAAAAGGGTTCAAATGTTCTTCCCGCGCGCTCTTGCTGAGTCACTGGAAAACCAATACTTGTTTGAGGCCTTCGCGCGCATGTGAACATGGTCCCTGTCAAATTATACAATTCGGGGCACATGCGTTGATCCATGATGAGTTTTTGGCGCGAGTCCTTGTCGAGCAATACCACGCGGTGCGCATGCGTTCATCGAAGGGGGAGGAGCTTCTGGGAC